AATGTACATTTCTCACAACACAAAATTCATGTACATTGATAGTTAAGTAATCATTTTTCCATTTTTGAAAACAAAAGTTAGTTTTAGGATCACACAAGTTCAATACCTTATGACTTATTACCATAAAGTGTTATAGTAAAAACTGCAAAAAAAAAATTGTTCAACACTGTCAGAAAACAAGAAAAGGTTATTACCAACCTTTATATTATGATAGCTAGCACCAAAGGCCTGGATAATGAATGCATTATCTTCATAACGTGCTAAACAAGCATACAGACTTCCTAAATGTTTTGGTTCTGCCTTTTTTTTTTTCACTTATAACTTCTTCAGCTGATGTAAGCTTGATCAAAGAGGTACCTAGCTGGGTTTCACTCTAATAATGAAAAAAATATGATTTTACATACCATGTGACTTACAGAAATACATTTATCTTCAAACTATTGGCAGAACTTATTTCAAAAACATAATTCCAATATTAACAAGTTTTCATAATATATAACCAATATTTTATATCAGGGAGTCTCTAAAGCAGGGGCAAATTAATTTTTTTTTTGTATTTAATTATAAGTTAACTATGATAGTATTGCCAAGATGTCTGAAAATATGACTACATTGTCAACTAAAAAATCATGGCATACAGTACTAGGAACAGGATATGATGTCTGGTAATACACTATGTGAATACCAAAAAAGGAAACAACTTTCTTTATGTAGATTTTCTAAAGATACAGAACGCTATATAACATGAAATGAAAATGAAATTTTTTACTCATACTTGTATTATGATAAACCAGCTGTCTTGCATGGTGACTGCACTGATTCGTATTACTTGTTATAACTTTTAATCAAAGTATTGTTAAATGTAGGTTTGAAATAGACAGTGCTGGCATCAAATACAATGAAAACATTTACTTTAACTTAAATGCATTCCTTTACAGTGTTACGACAGCGAAAATCATGTGACGCTAGTTACACGTCATGAGATTCTAAAAAGATCATGTCCGTTCGTGAAGCCTCGAGTGTTCTCCAGACGCCCACTACTTCGTATATCTAAGACCGGCGTGAAGTGACGGCAAAGAGAAGAATAATAGAATTGCAGACAGAGATAGAGACGAACAATTGAATCAAGTGCGATAGTAGGCAAACTGCGTGAATCATTCGTTGTGAATTATAGCATTTGTTTAAGTTAAACTGACTGTGGAAATTAAGTGTATTACAAAGTTGTATTGAGGAAGAATAAACTAGTTTTATTTAAGAAATTACTTGTATTGGTGAAGTTTTTCGGAAAGAATTTCTACGGAAAATTAACATATGACCAGAGACGTAACAATAGTTTCGTATTTTTCTTATTGCGCCTTCTAATACATTTACATGTCTGTTGGTAATAATGTAAGTGAGCTTAGTATATAAATTAAAAGTGAAAAACTAAAACGAAGTTTTTGGCACAATGAAATATAAAGTCTATGAGTTATTTCAGCCGACTACTTTTGGTAACACAGTTATTATCATCCAATAGGCTAAGCTAACACTCAATGTTTCAAGTGAGAGAAAAGAGAAAGTGGAATGATTTGTGAAATGTTTTAAACTGAAAAAAGTGGTGGGATGGTTTATGAGTTTCTTGAACTTGAAAAAAGAAAAGAAAATGGAATCTAATTGGTTTGTGTATAATTTTAGATCAGGTCAACATATATTAGTCTGAAATAGCCTCTCTAAGTTCTTATAATTTATTAAGTAAATTTGTTTCATTGTTGCTTTGTGTCGCATCTTGCCGCCTGTACTGTACAAAGGGAGATAAATAAGAGAGTTAGATATTTGGCGTAGACCTAGGCAACTGTAAGTGTATCAAGAAGGTTTCAAGTTTACTAAAAGGTAGTGTGATGATTTTGGGCCCTCCTTTAATTAGAAGTGGGATGGCATCCCGCCTCATTCCACCACATTTCAAGCACTACATCCTAACACTGTATTCATAAACCTTGATGATGATAACTGTGTTACTAAAACTAGTCAGCTGAAACAATGAATAAATACTTTACACTGCATTTTGTTTTTTAAAAAACCTCCACTTTTGTTTTTTACTTTTAATATACACTAGTACAATGTGCCCGAAGAGAAGTTATAGCCTATTACATGCTGATAATTTAATGAAATAAACCATTGTTATCGTCTCTCTACATACATATGTGGCATTCATGAAAGAAACAGGTTTCTGCAAGTTCTAGACAAGTAAACCCACAAAAGAACACATTTGCCCAATATTATCGAGAGAGTTTTTATTACACTATTATGCAAACAAAACAACTGCAGCAGCTCATGTACCCTCGCAAATTCCTTCTCTAACTAGTGTTTAGTTTTGTTGCGACTTTTCTCTCAAATTTGGAAACCCCATACTTAAACACGATGATCCGCAAAATACTAGATCCTCTCGGTAAATTAACTAGTGGACTCAGTGGCATAGCGAGGGTCTGGTGCGCCCGATGGCAAATGGTTCAAAGTGCGCCCCCATGCTAAATCTGAAAAAAAAAATAGAACGTTTTGATATGACCAACAATAACAACTTACATATTCACTTTTCTTGCCATTTTTTTGCGCAAACGCATCTATGATTCCGTCTACGTCAATGAGGATTTCCTTTTCTACACTAAATACTTCCAGGACACAAAGATGATCTTGAGACATAGAACGACCTCTCTCAGCTAACAATGGTCACACTAACTGTCATCGGTATTTGCAGTGCTATCCTGAGATGTGGAAAGACTTCTTCTCCGGAATAAATAAGGAATTCAATAACTTCTAAAGGTGTCGTTGGCTTGCCAAATACAGATAACGTATTTTAAAGCCTATATGCGAATCTTAGCGTTTCTATTTTCTTCAAAAGTCAAATAAAATATTGAAGATGAACATAAACATCGGTGTGGAATTGGAGTATGTATGGTGGTTCGAAGTGCGCCTCCCTCGATTTGCACTCAATGGCAAGTGCCTCCTTCCCTACGCTTCTGCTAGTGGAGGAATGAACCACAAAAGCGCTTTTGGATTCAGAATGTTAATTAGTTTTCTTTGTCCACTGGATGGCGTCATCTTCTGACCTATATTCCCAGATAACATAAGTCAGCTGTCAGTTTTAGTCAAAGTTACAGTCAGCCAGTAAGGAATATTCCAGTTTTAATTTGTTCAACCTGGGTTCCGTACACAACACTGGAATATCCCTGCAGACAGAACGAACCCCATCTATTAAGATAATAAAAGGTGAAACAACTAGAACAAGTTAAGTTTAACAACTTTAGACCACGTGTGGTCTTCGTAACATTGGAAAAACTAAATAATCAGTCATTTGGAATAATTTTATGCAGAATAGAAAGTAGAAAACCCATGATATAACTGCATATCACACACACACACACACACATATATATATATAAAAATATTGATATTAAGCACAAATCTACACTATGAGCTATATGTGCTATGCCCACTGCGCGTATAGAAATCCTATTTTTAACGCTATTAGTCCTCAGACTTACCACTGAACTACTGGGTTTAATTCCTCCAGTGGCTCAGCGGTAAATCTGAAGACGTATTACGATAAAAACCGTGTTTCGATAGCCGTGAAGGGTACAGCACAGATAGCACTATATAGCTATACGCTTCAATACAAATATATAAGTCAAACCTCTATATTGACAAGTTAACTGGTAGCAACTACTTCCATTTCATTTATTGTAAAATACAACGATAAAGACACCATATTACGAGGACCCGGCATTGCCAGGTGGTTAGGGCGATCGACTCGCAATCTGAGAGTCGCGAGTTCGAATCCCCGTCATATCAAACATACTCGCCCTTTCAGCCGTGGGGGCGTTATAATGTGACGGTCAATCCCACTATTCGTTGGTAAAAGAGTAGCCCAAGAGTTGGCGGTGTGTGGTGATGACTAGCTGCCTTCCCTATAGTCTTACACAGCTAGCGCAGATAGCCCTCGTGTAGCTTTGCGCGAAAATTCAAAACAAACAAACAAACCATATTACGATTTTTCTTTGTTGAAAATTATGAGTTATAATATTATGAGATTGTTGTTGTTTGTTATTAAGTACAAAGCCACACAAAGGGCTATTTATGCTTTGCCCACCACGGGTATCGAAACCAGGTTTCTAGCGCTAGAAATCCGCAGACATGCCGCTGTGTCACTTGGGGGCATTATGAGATTGATTTACAACTTTAATTCACTAGTGATCCATATCTGAATAGATATTGGCTGATAATAATTTCATTTAACGTTTTATAGTTTTATTTGTAAATTTACTGAGGTACATATTTTAACACAAATCGACATTATGAAGTTACATTGCATTTAATATTTTATTTATTTGTTGTTATTTGTATTATACTTTCGGTATTATTTTCAATTGTAGCTAAATTTCCTCGAAAGCTTTTGTCTTAGTGTAACGCCTAGTATTTGACGATTTTTAATGTTTAGGAAGTGACGCATTAGTATTTACGCCTAGGCATGTTAACGTTACATATTATGAATATCAGTTAATTTACTATTAAAATGATATAAGGATACTATTTCTTGAGGTTGGTAGGCATTAGCTAATTTATACTATAATAGTGTTACGGTTACTAAAATCTCGCTATGTCTTTTTTTTTTTCTCTCTCTCTCATATAATTTAGTGACTTTGTATAACTTGGGCGTTAATAAGGATAATAATTAATATGATATGACTTCGACAATGTACGTGATAGATCAGATAATAACTAAATATAGATTAAGAAACACGATGTAATTTTTATATTGCATTCAGTAAAAGTTTTAATAATAACAATTAATATAGATTCAGAAAGTCATGTATGCTTCAAATCAGTGGGTGTGATTCTTAAATTAATATTGTGCTATAGATTCCAAATCCATTACTTTGTTATTAGCTACAGAGAGTAAAAGCTAAAACTAATTGGAAGGTAAAAAAAATACTACTTTCCACACTAGACATGATAAAAAATTAATATAGTAATGGCAGACCTGACGACAGGGGGGGGGGGGGCAACTGCCCAGGGGCCTGGGTGAATGAAACCTGGTTATGCCGTAAAGCCCACAAAGCACTTTAGGCTATATCTTCATTTAATGACAAAAACCATAGTTTTTGGCTCTTCTTTGCATATAAATGCTTGATAAAATGTTACAAAAAAGAGAGAGAGAAAGGGGGCCCGGTGAGGATGTTTGCCTGGGGCCTGTGCTAGCTCTCGACATTCCTGTGTAATGGACTAAAACAATACATCACTACAAACAGGTTCAAACAAAATACAATTTAGTAAATTGTAATAACAACAGAAATATAAAATAAAACTTCCAAACAACTGGGATGCAAATTTTGTCACTTATAAATACTGAATAAATCCATGCCTGGCCAGGACTTGATACAGACATTATTAAATAATACTACATGAATATCAGTATTGTTAATTTCAATAAATAAATGTATTAGGAAAAAGATCCAGGAGAAAAAAATAACTTATTTCTGAAAACATGCAATATTCCAAAGTTAAACCACATCAAGATCAATAAAAATAATGAGCAACAATCAGAAATAATTCATGTTAACTATATCTCATGATCTAACTCATTTAAGCTCAAGTCACGGTTTTTATTTAGTGGTTAGACCACATGGTTACAGCTTGTGTGAGTAGCTGAGTTACATAATTTTTCACAACGTCAGTATCTGTACGTCATTACTGGGGGAAGCTTGTTTCAGTTTCACAATACAAACATACTCAAATTCAATGTTCTCTAGCTAGAAGGTGAGTTAGTGCTTTAAAATAACTAAAAATTCATAGTTGAACTAAATGATAGAAGGAATAATAAATGAATGGTAAACAAAACCAGAAAATAGAAGTTGAATTTGCTCTCTCACAACATAACCTATGGGCAATAAGAAATCATTTGGTCTTTCAACAAGGCTGTCTTTGCATACCAACCTTGGAATAATGAAAACTTTAAAACCTTTCATTTACTTTACAGCTATTCTCATATATCAGTCATTCTATTAGAAAAATATAACTGTCTTAACTGTTGTCTTGCCTGTCTTATTCTTAAACTTATATCCTCTCATTCTGATATCTTGAGAACAAAGCACAAAAAAATCAGAGACCTCGCTGTAATTTGTCCCAGGAATAAGCTTCAATAACACTATCTCTTACCCTTCTTTCTTTGAAGATAAAATAATTTAAGAGATCTCAACCTATCTCTTTAAAATAACCCTTCCATCCCTGGAATCATGCCAGTAGTAATATTAGTCCTCTTCTGAACTTTTTCCAGTAATTACATATCCTTTCTGAGATAAAGAGACCAAAATAGTTTAGTTTAATGAATGGGATAAGCTAGATGGACTAAAATGTTTCTTGTCTTTAGATTTTATCCTAAGAAGTCTCTCTTTGTTGTTATTGGACTCAACAACTCTCATTCAAAGTGTCTAAAATTAGTCACTCATAACGATTGCATCAGTATTGTTGGTAACACTAACAACTATGAATCTCATTATACAATTTTTCATTAATGTTATCTATCTGATCAGGTAGTCTATAAAATTTGCGAGTTAGAAACTCTCTATACTTTATGGTATATAAAGATAGATTCTACCTGTTTTTTGTCTTCAGTCCTAACAGACTGCAGTCATTCCTTCTTAAAGAGCCATGCTACCCCTCTTTTAAAAAATATATTACCATTATAACCTGGAGTTTCAAAATAATATCTGTTATTACTATTCTCCAAATCTAATAAAGTTGAAATAATACTTATTATATCAATCTTCCATTGCAATTAGAGTCCTGAATTCTTCTGTTTGTTTTTGAACCTGACAGGCTTCTCTTTTAAAACTATTATTTAATATATGCTCTAAGTTTCCGATTACCAAACTTGTTGCTGTAGCTGTCCTACCAGTAGCTCCCTCACCACTTTGTAGGTTAAGTTTAAACTATATTTAATAAATATATGTATAACTTCCTTAAACATCCTACTACCTAGCCTGCTTAAGTGGAGCCCATATCATGCATATAATTTATCTTTACCCTTTAAACTATCATACATGTCTAACCAGCCCACCTGCTCTAAAAATATATCCATACTACTAATTCATCAGACACTATGCTACTATGATATGCATTTTTTTAACCATTGTCACATGTGCAGTGTTATTCAATACTATTAGTTTGTTATGTCAAGAGTTGTTGGAAGAGGTTAATTCAATCCTTAGTTAAACATAGAATAAAAGTATCATGTTAAACTCCAATATCACAGTATTTTATGTATATACTTATGAAATGTGAGTGGTATTGACCTCACAATAAACAGTTTGTTTTTACACTCCATCATTACTTATCTACAGATATTAATTATTATATTTCTAAGAACCTTTGAATGAAATTAATGGTAGTCTTTACATGTTTTATAATTCAAGAACCTTTGAATGAAATTAATGGTAGTCTTTACATGTTTTATAATTGAGTCATTTTTAGTTTATAAATCAGACATTTTCAAGATGCTGGTGTTTTTCTCAAGATACATAGTTTTGTGTTTAAAATTAGGAGGTTATTCAGGAAGTCATACTTTTTAAATTAATTCTTCTCTCCTGTAAGGTCATATGCTCACAATTTATTCTAAGAGCTTAAGGGTGAGAGTAAAGAAGAACATACAGCAACACATCAACCACATTATAACTCCACATTCAGTGCCAATAAGGCCTTTCTCTCAATGTTAGTGATAATCAGGCCAGCTATGGTATCATTGTTTGCAGACTTGGTTAGCTACCTAAGCTATCATTATGATTATGCTATTTCTGTTATAAAAATTGTCATATTTACATTGCATAATGAGTTTGTTGTAAAGATATTTGCTTTGTGGAAAAGCTTGTGATTAATGTCTTTCCTTTTTTTTTCTTTTATGTCTCGTATGTGGCCTATTATTACATGCTTAGATTTATGGCATATCAAAATATGGAATCAGATGAACAAATAGAATTTGTGATTAGATGCTGTAAAATAATAGCAGTATATGAGTTTTAGTTCTTTATATGCAACTCTTAAGATCATGTATCTTTTTTCTGCTTTTAAATATTGAGAGGCTGTTTCTTCTGTTGCAGACTTGCTTTACAATTCAATATGGCATCACTGTTTGAGCAGTATGAGCAGGCTGCTTCCATTTCAACAGGACCAGTTACAAGCATTCAGTCGCTTCCAGAACTGGTGAGGATTAACATGTTTATTTATTTATGAACAGCTACAATTTAAATTTCATTTATGTAAACTTGGAAGTGAAAAAACAAAAAACATTTCTTACCTCACAGTGAAAAGTTGTAGACCTGTATGTACAAAATATGTTTTAGCGAACTGTTGTTTACATTTATGCATATAAGTACAGGTTTTAATGTCTTTGTCTTTCAGTATGTATTTTGGGGATCTTGTGTATGTTATTTCAAAATTTATTCTGTGGTATTCTACATGATGAACTAAAGAATTTTGATTTAAACAACATGGAACAAGATCCAGAAGGAGGAGCAGCAACTATAATCCATTAAAAGTGACATTTCCATATAAGGAAATGCAAGTACACACGCTGTGGTTGTGTTTAGTATGATAATATAGATTGTTAATTTTTCAGTTCACTTTGTTTCCAACTCACTATTTCATTTTACATCACAGTCATTAGTAAGAGGTTTAGCATTGTTTAATGTTGGTATACTTTGGTGACAGATTTTCTTGTAGGCAGATTTTGTTAAACAAGACCTACATCGGAATGACTACCACAACCCTGTCAAGACACCTAACAATGCACTTACAAAATGGAGCCA